TCTTGGGCTGCCACCCAGGCAGAGGTGACCACCTCCCCTTCGAGGCCACAACCATGCCTGAACCAACCCCTACTAGTGGACACGCTGCCAGCATCTACTTTTGTGGATGTCTCCTCTGCTAGACTGTGAGCAACCATGGCCCCCAAGGACAGAGTAGGTGCTCTGGGACTTGTTAACAGAGCAACATGCGAGTGCGCAAACGAACAGGAGTTAAAAAAAAAAAAAAGAGTTGGGCTGTCAGATGAGCATGAAGGATCTTCTAATCTTCCCAGCCAGTGACAAACAAAGTGTTTGTGTCTCTGGAACGTGACCTAACTGGCAGAATGGAAGAACTGAATTCATCACAAGAAGAAATTCAGTCAATCTATACATGTTCAAGTTTTATTACAAAGTATGATGGGCAGAAAATACGGTACTTCTTATACAGGAGGCTGAAACAGAATGAAAGGGTGAAAATTAGGTTTAATGTACTTAGGAAGCAAGAAATCAAGTCATAGCTCTAACACTCCACTTTCAGGAGCCTTTGAAGTAGCCTTCAATGGAGATTCCCCATCACGGTTTCACGGCACAGTGTTAAACTTTATTACAAGCCCTGCCTGTGTACAATCAGTCCTGTGAAAAGAATATTTAAAAAAGAAAATTGGTTACAGTACAGTTCTGCAAGGTGTAGCTTCCTCTCCACTTGACCATGGGATGCCTTAAAACCTACAGCAGAGCATGAAAGTTTAAATATATAACAAGAAAGTAAGTTCAGATACATTAGTCTAAAGGGGACAGAAATTGATTGGCTACAGCTTAACATTTCAGAGAATTAAGAAATGTCCATTTTCTACACAAGGGTTTATACAATCATGCTACAAAGTCACACTCAGGGAAGGGGGAGGGAAATCATTGACAGAGTGGGTCATAAAATACACAGGACCCCAAACAAATGATTCATACTCAACGAAAGCAATTCAGAGCTTCAGCTCAGCAAGTTTCGTGTCACACTGTACACCATGGGCAACCCAGGTGAGAGCGCTTCTTTTAAATAGTAGAGATCACAAGTTCGTATTCATCAGGTTGTCCCAAGGAGGGTACGTTTTCCAGCTGTTATATAGACCGCCAACATCTTTCTTCTTGAGTTTAAACTTTCTTTAGCTTAATTGTTTCTGGTTTGACACACCAGTCCAAGCCTCTTTGGAAAGGCACCTGCATGTTTCCATATTTTAAAAATAACATCCAGAAAGCAGCCTGAGAGGACCTGTCCCATCCCAGGTGGCCACACACTGACTTTTACCAGTAGCAGCAATGACAACTGTGGGAGGAAGAGGGTGGGCAAGGCTCCGCGACCGACAGACGACACTCAGTAGCCGGCCCAGCCAGTAGAGGAGACGACTCTTTGAGAGCCGGCCTAGGATTCACAGTGACTTTGCTCAGCTCAGCTGTGCTCCCAGGGGAAAACTCCATTCCAGTGCACAGCACGGCCCTCCCTGCTTAACCTGGAGCAGAGACAGGGGCAAGTCTGCTTCCAGACCTCTGCTTTAACGGCGCCCCCGATCTCAAGCTTCCACATTCTCAGACCAAGGAAGGTGGTGGTGGGGGCACTTTCCTCTCGTGTCTGGTAAACCCTGCAGTTCCTACTTGTCTTTACAGCCTAGGGGTTCAAGGCCCAGGCTGCAGTGGGGAGAAAGCTCTACACTGAGGGGAGTGGGGCGATAAGGGGAAAAGAAGAGAAAGAGGAGGAGTAGTCAGCACGGCCATTTCCAACCTCTGCTTCTTCTGCTCAGTATTAAGCCAAGTAGGGCCATCACCTAAACAGTCCCAGGACTCAAAACCTAGCACGCTACCAAACCACCTACAGCTGCACCACTGTAGGAAGGGGGTCCCTTTTCCTGAGCTGCTGCCATGTCCCCCAGTCACCCAGTGACATGGATGCCCAGTTAATGGTCTAGGAAGGCTGGCCCAAGCTGAGGGCAGTCTCACTCCAAAGCCAGGCAATGGGGTCTGAATGTGCTCCCACCTCAGACCATTACTGCCTTCTCAACTGTGCTCTTTTGAGTTGAAGACACACTTACCATTGATTTTCTCCCACATCCTAAGTTTCCTCCTAAAAATTAAGTCTTAACAACCATAAAAATCTTGCTCATTTTCTCCCAATCCTCCCAAATCTTAGCCAGCTTGCTGAGAGCCAATCCTGCCTGGTTCAGATGAGCAATTCTCACTTAGGTATCAAATATCTTACCTCTTCAAGTCCCAGCTTGAGGGCAATGCCCTCCCTCAAGGAGGTTCAAACTCTCCTGCACCCCGGGGGTGGGGGTGGGGGTGGTGTGTGTGTGTGTGTGTGTGTGTGTGTGTGTGTGTGTGTAGCGGGGAGAGGCTAATTTACTCAGTGGCTCCACCTCTCCTCAGAGCAGACCAGGAAAACAGAAAGGCAGCTTTGGACCAAGGAAGTCAAAGGGGCTCTGGGCTCCACCAGGCCCAGCCAGGGCCCAGCAGGGCCACCTCACGGCCTTTCTAATATAGTCCTAACTAACTGCTGCTCCTTCACCTCCAGGATCCATAGCCTCCTGCTCATGCTGTCAACCTGATAAATAAAAGACCTGCTTCTAAAACTCCAATAGACCTGGGTTCCTGGCAGCATAGCAGGCCAGAGGCTTCTAAGCCCTGAAAACATAGAAATCCCCTCCTCCGCCATGAGGTCGCCTGGCCTGTGGAGGAGAGGAGAGGGAAGGGAAGAGGGCTGGGACTTCCAAACAGCAGCAAGTGGAGTACCTGTGTCTGTTCAGGGAGGCCAGGAGTCTCACCTGGGCCCCAGGTGGGAAGGCAGAATCACCGGAGCTGCGAGGATCACAGACCAGGCAGGGAAAAACCCAACCACCAGAATTTGTGCGTTTCCATATCTACTCTAATTACTATTACTGACTCCTTTTTCCCCAGGTGCTTTTGGCTTCCAGTGGACAAATCTCACCGTTCAGACCAGTTTTCACTGCAGATCAGGAAAGGACTCACAGCCATCAGGTTGCCCCGGCAGGACTGGACCCTTTGAGCACGCTGATGGCCATTTCAGACCCTTTTCCACAGGAGGGAACTGACAGCCTCCTAAAGCAAGCAACCATCAACTCAGGCTTGTCATCCTTGAGAATGGACCCTGTAACCATGATCAAAAACAACTAAAAGCTGAGGAGGGTATTGACAAGGAACCGCTCACTTTACATCTCCAAATGAGCCTGAAGAAATCCAACGGAAAATACAGGAGAGCTGACCTGAAGCAGGATGGTTAGTCGGAGATCCCAACATCACAAGAAAGTAAAAAGGTACAAGGAGAAACACCTTGACTTTTTTAAAAAAGAGCCTATTTCTTTGGAACAAGCCCCTGTATAGTAAAGTAAAGAGCTGTGACTTTGGGGTACAAATACATCTGCTTCTGAAAAGGGCGGGCCAAGCAAAAGAGCTTAAGTGCCCAGAAGAATGGAGTGAACTGCTTTGTTTCTCAAGAGCTGCTGAGAGCCTAAGTGGACAAAACCATTGGCCTGACTTTCCTCATCTTGAGTAAGTCACTCAGAGGGTCTTAGACATCTCCTAGTACTTGGCAGAGCTAAGCAAACTACCCCTGTCCCCACCCACTGCTTCCCAAACTGCCCCTAAGACTGACTTAACAGGAGAATCACACATAAGCCTCCTCCAACCAACTCAGTCATGTAACGGAAACAGACAACTGCAGCAGCTTAGAAGGTGAATACTGCTTAGAACCTAAATGGGGCAGCGGGGAGGAGGAATGTTGACCATGTGAGCAGAGCTCTTCACTGGCAGACCCTGGGGTCCATGACTCTTTCCTGTTTACCTACTTACTTGGTAACTTGGGATCATCACAACTAAGGAACCCATTCCTTACGAGAGCTGAGTCTCCCCCACTCTAATGGGGATCTTGTTCAGAGTGAGAAGCACAGACTGTGTACCTCTCAGGCAGGACTCTCACCTCAGAACACTCCGTCCACAGAGTGGCCAATATTCCACAAGTCAAGTCACAGTCAATGGGAAGAAGAGAAATGCCTAACTTCAGCTTATAAGTCATTCTTGCCAATCATTCAAGACGGAAAATGCATGGCCTGGGGTTTATAGTTTGAGGAAAAACAGACTGTGAAACTCTGGACTGAAAATATGCTCCACACTCAGCTTTCCTGAAGCCATTCCCTCTAATGATGCACTCCAGCCAGTCCACCTCAGCTCAAACGCAGAGTTCCTAAGGGGTTGAACAGAGGTACGGCAGAGTGTAACAGAGGACATCCAACATCTTTTGGAGCCCAAATGCCCTTGAGATGAGCCAGGATGGGAAAAGGCGTGAGGAGCAGGCCGACTTCAGAGCACCAAGGTGGTTTGAGACTCTAGTCAGGAAAAAACCACTCAGGCAGTGATTCAAGAAGGCAAACTGCTCATGGGGTTAGGGCCCAGCGCCAGCTCCAGGCACTGGGGGAAGAGAAGAGGGTGCTGATGGGGAGAAGTATGCCACAAAGGAAGAAACCAGGGAGAGTAAAATTCCTTTCATAAAAAAATCATCCTGGTAGATAAAAAATATACAAAGTTGAAATTTGTTAAAAGACATTGCTAGGAGGAGGAAAGACAGCTTCTTAATTGGTATCTGTTCCCACGTAAGTGCTGACACGGACAGACAAGGACAAGGACAGGGCACGGCCTGCTGCCCAGGGCAGCAGACAGAGACCTAGGGCCGAGGAAGGCGAGCACAGCCAGTGCCAGTGACGCTCGTGGACACAACAGGTGACACCCTGTTTTCTCGCAAATAATATGCACCTTCTACATTTGTTTCCCAGCTACTCCCTACCTCCTGCCCAGAAGAATTTCTGTAAAGGCGCTATGCTAATTTCTTTTTATTTTCATACCAACATGTGAAAAAACAAACAAACAGACATAGCTGTGCTTCCGAAAATATCTCCCTGGGGGAGCGAACAGTTGGCAAACATAGAAGATGTGTTATTTGCGAAAGACACAGTACACAGAAAGTTTTACTTGAGGAGCCAGAGGAGAAGAGGGAAGGAGAGGAAATCTTCCAACTCGGCCCTGGGGCTGAGGAGGTGCCACCCAGCCCTGAGTCCGGCCCAGAGACCAACGGGGTGACTGGCCAGGTACTCCTAGAGCAGCTTCTGGTACCAGTGGGTGCAAAGCAACGAAAGACATACTGGCCTCTGGAAAAGTGTCTTCTTACTTTCGGGGTGGAGCAGAGGCGGGCAGCACAGCACCCCTGCCTCACTGGCCTGGCAGCACCAGCACTACACACGGAGGATCTCCAGGCAGTTGTTGTAGCAGATGGCGATCCAGTCTGGCTGGGTCGATGCCCACTGGACGTTGTTGATCTCTCCCTCAGCTGTGTAGGCCAGGATAGGGTCCTCGATGGCCCGGGGCATTTGCTGAATGTCCCAGATGAGCGCCTGATGGTCGTCCGCTAGTGATAAAGAAGAGCAGCAAGCAAGGTCACCCCTCGGGCAGTGAGGACCAGGACCCCTGCATCTGGGGGCTGAGGCACAGTTTACAAAGCATTTGCTCACCTAAACCCGAGAGGGAGGTTTTAAGTCCTCATTTATAGATGAGGAAACTGAGGTTCAGACCTGTTAAGGCACTTGTCCAAAACCACACAGCCATGCAACTAGCGAGGGGCAGAGCCTGTGCTCACATCTAGGCCACTGACTCCATGTTCCAGGGTTCCATTCTCTGCACCAGGGCTATGACGTTACAATGGGACATAGGAGTCAACTTGCCTCTGGGTCAGAAATCAGGAAAGGACAACAGGATAAAAACAATCCCCAAAAAGATATCATTGCAACCACTTAAAATCTCTGAATAAAAATCTATCTTTGATGAGTCAATTTTAATGTGTAGTTTGTTTTCTTTTTCCTGTTTTAAGACATTTATTCTTCAATGCAGTGTTATATAGATGACTGAGATAAATAAAAGTGTTGTGTGGAATTATGCTATTAAAACACTTCTTTTCCAAGAAAAGGGCTATGCTATATATAAGTACATAAATAAATTAAAAAAAATGAGAACTGTGGTAATATTGGGAAGGCAAGGCTATGGATTATTTAATGTAACCATGGTATATTTATAATCAAATTAATCTTGATTTAAAAGAATAATAATAATAATAAAAAGACAATGGACCTCAGGGTGATAGTGTCCCCCATCCATCAGCCTATCCTGATGTGAAAGCCTGTCTCTGATACAAAAGGGATCTGAAAACACTAGATCCTAAAAGGTCAGGCTAACCGTGGGTAACGCTGGCCTTCTGCCAAGGCAACACACCACCTCAGCAAGGTGTGATATATCCTCCTTCTGGAACAATCTGTGTCAAAGGAGATCTGGCCACTGTTTTAAATGCTCAGCACCTGGAGACCACTAAGGTCCTTTTCCTCAACACTCACCAAGCACGAGCTTCAGCAACACCCTCCATGACTGTGCCTCAATACAGGTGCAACACACAGCCCAGCAGGAAACCAGGCTGAGGGAGGTGGCCAGAAGCAGGAGCAGGAAGTGGGCTTCTTGGGGCCCAGTGCTGCTCCACACACAGGATGACTCCCTTCTTTTTTCCCTCTCACCCCTCACTATCCACACCCTCAAAGAAAAGGAGGACAGTAACAAACTGCTAACCAGAAGGCAGGCAGTTCAAACCCACCAGTCACTCCTCAGAAGGAAGGTTGGGCAATCTACTTCTGTAGTGATACTGCCTCGGAAACCCAAAGAGGGGCTGCTATGAGTCGGGTCTGACTCAAAGGCACATGACAATAACGAAGTTAGACCACAGCCTGAGGTATAGAAGACGGCAGCTGGTCCCCTAACTGCTCTGTCATGGAACATTCAGGCATGAGCAGAGGGCCCCAGACATGGAAACCAACATGCCTTTTAATTCATGCTAAAATGGCAGAAGGCTGCCACACTCCATTGCTTCTTTGGCTGCATAACGAACAAAGAAATGAAGAGGCTACCGAGTCACGAGAGGAAAATGTGCTAGGTAGAACCGAAAAAGGAGAACACCATAGGCACTGAGTACAAGTTTATCTGCGTACAAGAGAGAGAGATTTTCACGTTTGTGTGTGTGTGCGTGTATACACAGGAAAAGGGATGGAAGGAGACACAGCTGTTGTGAGAGGTCACCTACAGAGACTGGAGTGAGGCGGGAGTGGGAGAGGGAGGGGAAAAAATGACTTGCACCTTCCTATTCTCTATGTTGTTGTTGTTAATGTGCCATCGATAGTGACCCCTCCTTGGGTTTCCACTACGGAAGTAGATTGTATCACTACGGAAGTAGATTGTATCACTACGGAAGTAGATTGTATCACTACGGAAGTAGATTGTCCCATCTTCCTTCCGAGGAGTCTGGTGGGTTTGAACCGCCAGCCTTCTGGTTAGCAGTCAAGTGCCATAGGCACTATGCTACCAGAGCTCCTCCTATTCTCTACACCTCTGCGTTATTTTCACATGTAATACGACATTATCTCTAGAATGAAAATACAGTAGTGACTACAGTATTCCGAGGGGCATTCTCTTTGGTTTGGCATACACTGATCTCCAGGTCACACTCCCCCGGGTGGACAGGGCTATGCAGTGTCCTTCAAGACAGCCAGTACTCACTGTAGGTTCACTACAGTGAACCCTGAAAAGGCCCAGGAAGAGGTCAGTCTAGGCAGTCCCAAAGACCCCATTACATTCAGGAGGGGCCTCCTGTGCCCATTTTCCTGGATCTGAGTCCCTGTGCCAACCTGGCTTTCAGGGAGTATATGAGGCACGATGCAAACAAGAGTCCACAGCATGATGCAAAACAGTACGTGGAGGACACTCGCTCAGGGTACAAGGCCTTCTGGAAACCTGGACTGCTTCAATGTCATAAGTGGGTTCCCAATTGAGTCACTTTATGTAAAATTCTCAAATTGCCCTTGGAAAACAGTAAGGATTACAATTCTAAGGAGACGCAAGTCGTCAGTCTCTTACCCCTCCCTGCTACACACACACACCCACATCATTACCTGCAGTACAAATGTGGCAGGAAGAATGTGGGGCCCAAGCAATGCCATTGACACATGCTCGGTGGTTGTTTAACCTGGCGACAGGTGTGCAGGGAACTCGGACATCCAGGATCACCACCTGCAGAAATAACAAGTAAAAGGCCCAGGAAATTTCAGTGTGTAACAGAAAAACAAAAAAGCACACTATACAAGAAAAGTATTTTTTTAGGGATATGGAAAAAATGATCACTAACTTTACATGGAAAGGAAAGAGACCTCGGATAAGCAAAGCACTACTGAAGAAGAAAAACAAAGTAGGAGGTCTCACATTGCTGGATCTCAAAACCTACTATA